TAGGAACTTGATGTCCTTATTTATATTTGAGCTGGATTTGACTCAGTTTCAACTGTCTTTCCCTACTGAGATTTCAGTGATGGCCATTCTGAGATGTGTATGAAAGATAGCATGTCTAACAGATATGCATAGAACTATCTGGACCTAATTATTACAATGTTTTATGTAAACATTTTATTTTCCTGTTTGTCCATGTTTGGGAATAATGTACTTGAGTTTTTTAAGTACAAAATTTGAAGGCACAGATCAAATTCTGCAAGGATCTGTGTGTTAATGAAGTACTTTCTACATTTTACCAAATGCCAGATCACTTGCCTCTGCTTTGGTTTTACCTAAAAGTGGTTTTCTATGCTGATATTGTAAACAGTTAACATTGAAGTTATCAGGCAGTACTATCTCTTTTTATTTTGTTTAAAATCCAAGTTTAGCTGGGCGTTTAATCCCAGCATTGGAGAGGCATAGGCAAGTGGATCTCTGTGAGTTTGAGGCCAGCCTGATCTACAGAGTGAGTTCTAGGACAGCCAAGGCTACACAGAGAAACCCTGTCTCAAAAAAACCCAAAACAAACAGAAAATCTGGGCTTATCTGAATGTGGTGGCTCGAACATCAGTAATCCTAGTATTCAGTAGGGAGAGGCAGGAGGAGCAACACAAGGGAAAGGCCACTGTGGTATAGCCTGTGTTAAACTAGCGAAGCTAAGTATTGAGACCATGTCTCAATCAAAAACATGAGCACAAGAATAGTGTAACACTAAGCATTTGGTGGAATAGTATGTATTGAAATTTTCATCCAAACAAGAAAACAATAAACACCACAAAACATATGTTCCTTTTTCCCAAGTGTCTGCTGCTTTGAGCTATAAAGTACATAAATGTGAAGGAAAGACATTTGGGCCTGTCTTAAAGGCTCAGAGTTTTTATCATAAGAACTGTTTTTTGTTATTGTTGTTTTAAGATCTTAATTGATGTGCCTATTTTAAGATAGTTTATGGTGATCTTTTTAATGAATATGTCAGTATTTACTGTACTCCAGAAGACGGTGGCGGGCGGACTTGGTGAAAATTTTGCTTTCTTATACTATTTAGGAAAATATTGTTTTAAAGGACCACTTTATATTTATATTAAAATAAGGATTTAAATTATTTTTATGAAGGGATTTATTAGCTTAAGGGAATCCATTTTAAAAGAGAAAATGGAGGAAATATAGAGTGCCAGGTACAATTATATAAAGAACATTTTCTCTCATTCTCAAAGCCTTCTTGACTGAAAACAGGTATGTGCTTTAGACTTCACTCAAATCAAATTTCAGATGTTCATAATTCTAGAATAATACCCCAGTGATAAAACTATCCAAGATTAGAAAAGAAAATGACATAAATTGGTATAAAAGAAATGACAATCTCACAAGAAAATTCAAATCTAAAAATCTATGTTAATAAACCATTTTTATGTAATTTATTAAAAAAATGAAAATTATGGAAAAGTGAAGCTGTGAAGAAACATTTTTCTTGTGAAAGAAAAAAATTAGTAAAAATTTTATGGAGGACAATTTGGTGGTGCTTATCATGTTTATTAAAAATCTTAGAGTTCAATTTTGTTGAATTTGATTTACAGATATACTTCTGTATGTGGAAACTATTCTAATAATAATATCAACTATTAAAAGTAATGTAGTTTCCTGTAATTTATTTATTTTTGTTTTTTCCAGACAGGATTTCTTTGTGTAGCCCTGTCTGTCCTTGTCCTGGTATAGTGTTTTAATAGTTTATTTATATAGGCCACCATTCAGAATGTATGTAAATATGCAGGCTCTAAATATAAGGTCCGTATGTAATTTTAAATGCTTTGAAGTAAAGTAGTGGAAACATTTTTTCCAGAATATTTCTACCACCAGGGGTCAGCCAAGTGTCATTCTGCTGATACCACAAAACAAAGAACAGTGTGTTAGAGTTTGCTAATTTGTAAAGGAGAAATAGTACAGTTAAATAAAGCTCTTTTATTTATTGTTGGTATATAACCCAGTCTGCTTGTGTGTTAGTTTTGTCCTAGTAGGTCCTCCTCTTCTTCACGCCTGTCCTGAATGAACTGCTGAGGTTCCCCTCATGTGTCAGGAGTCGCATTTAGAGTAGATGCACCTTACTAACTTGGTCAGCTTGCTGCTTTTTTGCTGAGAATCTCAAGCAGGCAGCATTTGATTATTTAGACACATTTTATATATCTATCTCTTCCTGGTTTTTCAAGTTTTAAAACCTCTATATCTGTTTTTTAAGTTTGTTTCTCCTCTCCATGAAAACAAGGAATGCTTGAGACTTCTTAAAGATTCCTATCATTATGTATACCTTTGGGGGAAACATCTAGCTAATATTACACATTTAGGAAAACCTTCTTGTCATCTGTTCTTGATCAATCATATTTTTATTCTGCTGAATTCATTCTAAGGCCCTTTGAAAACACCTTTTTGTCATAATATGAATAGTTTGAAGATCTGCAACAGTGTTTGCTAGCTTGTGAGGCAGGATCTTGATATATTCTGTATTTTGTGTATTAGTGCCTTTTAATAGCAATATACACACTTAAAATGATTCCTTTTGGCACAAAGTTCATGGTTCTGTGGTGCAGGAGAATTGTCTGTATTCTGTCAATCATGTATTTTAATAAAACGCTGATTGGCCAGGTAGAAAGTATAGGCAGGTCAACCAGACAGGAAGTAGAGGCGGGGCAATGAGAACAGGATAAGCTAGGGGGGAGGAAGCTCCCTTTGCCATTCCTGCCCAGACCACTGAAGAAGCAACATGTGAGCTGACAGCTGAAAAAGGCACCAAGCCATATGGCTAACATAGATCAGAATAATGGGTTAAGATAAGTCATAAGAACTAATAAGTAGCCTGACCTAATGGGCCAATCAGCTTTATAACTTATAGAGATCTCTATGTGATTGATTTTCTCTGGGACTTGCCAACTGTGGGGTACCGGGCGGGAACAGATACCCCAACAAGCCGACCCTCATGTTACAGTTCTGGTTAGGGAAATTTTGATAAAAAGCAATAATAAAGCTAATCTTCCATAAGTTACTAAATTATTCTTGTTGAATTTTGTTTTGTTTCTTTAAAGACACGTTTTTCGTTGTGTAGACCTGACTGGCTTGGAACTCATTACGTAGCCAAGAATGGCCTCGAATTCACAATGATCTGCCTGCTTCTTTCTCCTGAGTTCTGGAATTGAAGGTGTGTGCCCATTCCTGACAGATGTATATTTCAAACATGTGTTCCATAAATGGATATATAAAATGAAATTACCTCGGGCTAATACTTTGGGACTACATTGTAGACTGAATTTTCAAGTTCCCGTAAATTGTTTGTGTATGTGTACATGCGTGTTTGTGTACACGTGCATGTGGGTGGAGGCCAGAGGTAACATTGATGTCTTTCTCGGTTGTTCTTCATCTTATTTTTTTAGATAGGATCTCTCACTGAACCTGAGCTCATTGATTCATCTAGAAAGCCCTGGGGATTCTCTTGTCTCTGTCTTCCTGGTGCCGGGACTATGAGGTTTTTGGAGATGCAGTTCAAGTTCGCAGGCTTGCACGGCCAGCACTTTACTGACTGAGCCATTTCCCTGGCCCCCAGTTCCTGTTTTTTTGTTGTTTTAAAATGGAATATGCAAAGATTGCCTTATAGAACACAATGCTAATAAAAAGGCCCTGTTGATCTCTGAGAGTGCACACCTCAGAGAACAGGTGGTAAGATTTGAATGGTTTGAAATAGAATTGAAAGAACCAAATTTTGGAAGTGTAATAGTTAAATTCCTTTTTTATAGACAATACCAACTGGTTACACACATTTTCCTTTGGCTTCCTATACAAGTGTCATTTTCTTCTCATTAAAAGAAAAGTTGTGTGTGTGACTACATGTATTCTTGTGTACACCAATGCACCTGTGGAGATCAGGGGATAGCGCAAAAGAGTTGGTCCTCTCCTTCTACTGTGTTGTTCCTAGGGATTGAACTTGAATTGTCAGTCTTTGTCCACTGAGACTTTTATCCACTGAGCCATCTTGATAACCCTAGAATTTGATTTGCTAGGGTTCCCAAGAAAAGTTCCCTGCTCCCTACCTTTTTTTCCTCTAAAGCTTATTGCAGTGTGCAGGTAAACTAGCAGACCTCGGAGAGAAGGAGCATGTATGTGACGGCAGTGCGATGGAGTAAATAGGGTCTCTGGGCTGTTGCGGGGTATTTGTCGTGAGTGCTTGCCCCGATGTCCTTATCAGGAGCTGTGGCAGGAAGGCCATGAGTTTGAGACCAATCTGGGGCTACTTAATGAAATCCTTGTGAGAAAAAGGCAGTTGCCCATTTTCTCCGAGAGAATATCCATCCCTCTGCTTCTTGCTTCTGGGGGAAGCGGTAAGGGCAGCTACTTTGGAGTTAACAATGAGGGCCAGGCTAGTCTCAAACTCAGTGGCAATCCTTCGAGCCTCCCAACTCTGGAATTACAGGTATGAGCTACTGTGCCCAGAACTTCTACCCTTTCCTTTTTGTACCTGAGGTCTATCAAATCTTAGACTTTATACATTAAAATGTAAATATAGTTAATTTATTTGTTTCTGTAAATCATTGTATTGTATGAACTTTAAAGTGTTCTCCGCCTCATGATGAAGTAATTGTTCAAATGTCCCATATGTAATTCTGGGATCACTTTGGGATGATTTATCTTCCCCAAAATAAGAATGGCTATAAATCTTTAGATACAATGTGATTCAGTTTTTCTCCTGAGAAGTATTGGGGGAGGTCAGATAAAATTCTCACATGATAATGCAATGATTCCTTCTATATCTTACTTTTATTGACATTTAGAAATACTTCAGTTTTAAGAAGTCTAGACTCTGAGTAAGGTTATTCTTATTGAATAATTCAGTAAATTTTTAGTTGTTAATATGGATTTTGTCTTTTTTTTCTAATTTTTTTCCTCTTTGAGGGGCAGGATATAATTGCCTTGTTTCATTGCAGGGATCCTTCTAAAGTAAATATTCTGGTACCTGGTGCTGGACTAGGAAGATTGGCCTGGGAAATAGCTATGCTAGGTTATGCTTGTCAAGGAAATGAATGGAGTTTTTTTATGCTCTTTTCTTCCAACTTTGTACTCAACAGGTATTTAATTTACTTTTTGCTGGAAATAGTAACTTCTCAAAATTAAATTGCTTTACCAATTTTTGAACAATTTTGAATTAGAAGAAAAGTATATAGTACTTGATTGATTTAGATCATATTTACAGTAAATTCATAATGTTTATACCAATTGCCACTGTAGCCAGTGTTAATTAGCTAGCAGTGTTGACACAGGGCAAGCAACAGCTATTTAGAAAGTAATTTGGCAGTCCATGAAATTAAAACAGTTTCTCTGTAGACTCTTTAGTGTTAATTATGATATAGAAAAGGGGTTTTTCCTCATTTTTTTTTAAAGGTCTTTTTACCTTTGTTTCTTGGTGAAGAGTTTATGGTAGCAATTGTAGCTGTTTTCCTTAACTGACTTTTCACTAAGTGGCCATACGTGCTTACTTGACTCATCTAGAATGAGGTCTGAGAACTGCTGTGTCCTCTACCAGAAGGTAGTAGACAAGAGTGACTATTGTAAGTCAGCAGGTGCAGCGCGTTAAAGACAGCTAGTCCCTGGCTCAGTAGCACACTACAGTGACATACTCGGTTCCTCAGTGTAGTTCTGTGTTGTTACTGGTGAGATGGGGGAAAAGGTTATATACAGAATGGTAAAAAATGGGTAACAAGACGAGCTTTCTTGCTTTTACTCAAGGTTTAGGTTCAGGAATACATTTTTGCTGGATGTGGTAGCACAGGCCTCTAATCTCAGCTTTTGTGGGGTGGAAACAGGAGGATCAAGAATTCAATGCCATTCTTAGTTACACAGTGAGTTCAAGGCCAGGCTGGGCTACTTAAGACCCGTCTCAAAAACCAACAAAATTTTAACAATTTTTTAAAAATTCGAATGAATAGCACATGTGAATCTCTAAGTTTCTTTCTTTTAATCCATGGTTGGTCATTTACATGTATACACACCTTCAATACCAGTGTAGTATAGATTGGCACTTTTCTAGTCTAATTAGTTTCATGCGAAGATCTTCAATAGATATTTTAATGCTTAAAGTAGATTCTTTTTTGGTAAAATGTGTAGTTAACATTGAACCTTATGTTCATATTTTACAGATGTTCTGAAATTAACAAATATAAACTTTATCCCTGGATCCATCAGTTTAGCAATAATCGGAGATCAGCTGATCAAATTCGACCCATTTTTTTCCCTGATGTTGACCCCCACAGTCTTCCTTCAGGTTCTAACTTTTCAATGACAGCAGGAGACTTTCAGGAGATTTATTCAGAATGCAGTAAGTTCAAAGCAAGTATTTAAAGTTCTTATCTGTTATTCTAAATAGTGACCCAGTGTTAAAACCATTTGTTTTGATGCCAGGATATAAGGTGTGCAATGTCAGCGACATTTTCAAAGTCATGTAAAAGGCAGTGACAGGAAATGTAAGGAAATATATGTACATTCAAAAGATGTTGAGTTGGGGCTGGAGTGATGGCTCAGGGGTAGGAGCACTGCCTGTTTTTCCAAAGGTCCTGAGTTCAATTCCCAGCAACCATATAGTGGCTCACTATAAGTAATGAGATCTGGTGTCCTCTTCTGGTCTGTAGACACATATGCAGGCAGAACACTATATATAATAAATAAATCTTAAAAATAAAAAGAAATGTTGACTCTGTTAATAAAAGAGTTCAAATGTATAGTGATTGCAGTAAGATGGAAATAAATAGTGGGAATGGAGCTTTCTAATGAGGCTGTGACTTGATTGATGGACAGAGATGAGTAGTTAAGAGAGTAAAGTCATCGGGGACTGCAGCAGGATTAGATTGGCAAGGAAAGAAATTTTATGGGTGATATGTCTTAAAAAGTAGGTTAGCTTCAGTTGTAGAAGGCTTGTATCAGGTTGGAAGTTAGATTCCAGTCTGGCAAATTAGTAAAGACATTGGAGGGAGGCAGGCATGGAAAGGGAAAGAGTATGAACTGGCAGTAGCAGGAAAAAGGGAAACAGAATTCTGAGCAGTAGCTAGAGTATCCTTTCAACAAGTATCTATTTGCCACGTGTTAAATGCCAAGTACATTCGAGACATCGAAAACATAACAGCAGGACAGAGTTCTTAGCCACAAGGGACTTATAACTGGAAGGAACAGAGAGGCCATAACATACAGTATTGTATGTAAGAAAATAAGGCACAGTACTAAGCCTAACAATAGAAACTAAGAAGGCGGTTGTCACTTACATGTTTAGGGATGGCAAGGGGCTTAGGAAAGAGTGCTTGGCTGAGTTCAGCAGGGGCTGTGGTGAAGTGAGTAGTGGGGATGAGGGAGATAGTAGGGCACAGGATTGGTTAGGCTAACTTAAAGCAAGAAGTTTGAATTTTACTCTGAGAGGGTCAGGAAGCCCCCAAAATATGGCTCGAAGCAGGGAGTAGCAACACAGAAAGATTTTATATATCTAATTTTCTAAGATAGGAAATAAGCGCCTAAATTCTGAGACTAGGACAAACTGCATTCTGAAGATAGAACGGAACAATTAAGAGAGGTTAAGCTGTTGAGTAAATGTTAAGGAGCAAGATCTTAGAATAGTGAAATAGTGGAAAGCATTGCAATGCCATAAGGAGTCATTTTCCTCTGACTGGAAGAGGACACAGATGATCTCTTTTGGACTGGGCACTTTTACAACATCAGGATTAGAATAGATAGTACATCTTGAATCTGGTCCCTACCTCTGCCTGGAACAGCGTACAAGAGCTGAACAGTTTTCTAGTTGAGGGCCCACCTTTTCTGTGCCTTTCCCAGCCAACTTCTCCCTGATGATTATCAGGTCATGCTAGGTATTCGGGTATTTTGATGTCATCATTTCTCAAACTGGCAAGAAAGGCCAACTTCTAAAACCTGCCAGAATCAGTAATTAACATTAGTTTAAATCAGAACTCAAAAATCAAGATGATTATTATTTTGTTTATGCGGATTTTAGATGAGAGCTAGGGTAGGCCATCACAGAGCACCTTCCAAGCTCAAGACCCTAGGTTTAGTTACAAGCATCACAGAAGAAGCATAGTAAAACTAAAGGCTACAGTTGAGTGTAGATGATGAGCAACTCTTTCAGTGTCACTTGGTAGTATGTGTTGATGTGTTAATAACAAGTGATTTCCAGATTGACTACTGTATCTACTACACTATAATCATCCTGATTATATATATATATATATACATACATATATATATATATATATATATATATATATATATATATATATATTTGCATCCTGATTATAGTGTTGATCAGAATAGTATAGTGTCTGTATCCCTTCAGGTAAATGAAATATTAGTACTCTGCAAGAGTTAGTTGGCAAGTATGGGGGAAAAGAAAAAAAAATAACAGATGCAATGGTCTGATTTCTGTTGATTAGATACCTGGGACTGTATTGCCACCTGTTTCTTCATAGACACAGCTCACAATGTAATTGATTATATTGATACGATATGGAGAATACTGAAACCAGGTGGAATTTGGATAAACCTCGGTAAGTGCTTTAATGTTCATTAATATTTTACACATCAGTCTGAGGATTAGAGTTTTTCCCCATTTGGTAGTGGCACAGTACCAGATACTTGTGAACATTGTAATTATGTTGTATTATCTGTTAGGACCACGTCCAAGTGGGTAATTACCTCCTGAAAGCAGTGGCAATCCAAGCATTGGGATGATCCTCTTAGATCATCAGCACATACTAAGTTCAGTCTGCTGCTTCATCTCGGTCCCTTGTAATCTTCCCCCACTCCATGCAGGTGGTGGCGTTTCATTCCGTTAAGAGGAGGGTGCTTTCAGAGACTGAAGCAGCAAGCATGAATTTGCACCAGATCCTCTGCATATATGTTACAGATTGATGTTCTTGTGAGACTCCTAACAGTGGGAGTGTGTTTATCTCAGACTCTTGTCTGCTCTTGCGACTCTTTTCTCCTATTGGGTTGTTTTGTGCAACCTCCATATGAGGGCTTTCGCCTTGTCTTATTGTATCTTATTTAGTCCTGTCTGGCTGTCGTGTCTTGCGGACCTTCTCTTCTGAAGAGGAAATGGAGGGAGAGTGGATCTAGGGGACCCAGGAGGTGTGGGGGAGCTAGGGGGAGTGGAGGAGGGAAAATTGGTTGGGATGTATTGTATGAGCAAAGGATCTATTGTCAAAAAAAAAAAAAGTTCACACAAAAAACAGAGGGAATGTTTTTATTGTTTTTAAATTTTAAAGGAAGGACTTTACCTCCATCATGAAATTCTCCTCTCAGTAGATGAAATAGTTTTTCTAACTATCATGAGTTTAAGAAGCAATAGAGATACAATTTCATACATGCAAAAATACCTTGTACTTTGAGCCTATTGCTTGATACTAAAATATAATTATGAGTATGCTTTGTTCCTTTATCAAGAATTAAAAGGTAATTGCCTATTTTCTCCTCTTAAAGTTACATTTAAGTTTGCATGTCTTCCTTAAGTGTGATGTGTGCCCTATGTTCAGAGTTAACCACGCTTAGAATATGAGACTTTCATGATGATTCTACCACAGCAAAGGGCATACATAAAGACCTAGTTTATTGCTGAGGTCCTGACAATTGTATTGTGTATTGTTTTATTTTTACTAGAAATTTTTTCATCAGGACCAAGACTAGAAGTAGTAAATCTTCCCACTTTCTCTTCAAAATTTTGTAAGATTAGCTGAGAACAGCTGTAAAATGCAGTCATCATAAGAATCAAATATCTCACCGGGCGGTGGTGTGCACCTCTAATCCCAGCACTCGGGAGGCAGAGACAGGTCGATCTCTGTGAGCTCAAGGCCAGCCTGGTCTACAAGAGTTAAGTTCTAGGACAGACCCCAAAGCTACAGAAAAACCCTGTTCTCGATCCCCCTCCCCCCAAAAAAGGGAATCATATCTTAAACCTTAGAATTTTAAAAATAAATGCTTTGGGAAAGTTGGCCCAAGGAATGACTTAAGGATACTGCTGAGAACCTGTGTGTTGTGATTTAGGTGCTGTTATAAATACTTTAAATTCATAGCAGCCCTATCCTGTTTTATAGTCCTAGAGGATTAAAGTAGAACATTGTATACCTGGACAGGTTCTCTTTCCACTGAGCTCCGTCCTCAGCCTCTCAGAGCAGCCCTAATGAAAAGGCGCTATTTACTAACAGTGGAAGAAAATGAGACCTGGTTCAGTAACTAGCAGAAAGGTCCCGGGCTTACTTGTGGCAAGAGGCAGGCTCATAGCCTGACACTGCCAGTTTGTACTTAGTGTTAACATGATCCTATATATACATAATTGAAGGTTTGCTTCCTAGTTACTGAGCTGTGATACAGTTTGTTGTCCTACTGAGATACTTGATTTAACTGATACAAGCAACTTTGTGTATGAACACTTCTTTTATTAATATTTTATTAATGTTACATAACAAGTGCCTGACATATTTAACAAAGTTGGCCCTTCTAAACACGGGGGTTGTTCTCTAAAAGTAGTTATGCTGCAGTATGTCTTATGTGTCGTGGACAGCAGAAGTCATGGAGCAGGTACTTACAAGAGGACAGAAGACTTTCTAGGCATCTAGACACAAGGTTTCAAAACAATCTGAGGTATTATAATAATTAAACACCTACTTTATCTTAATACTTCATAAATAGAATATTTTGCATGCTTAAATTAAAGAATATTACAAATAATAATCAGGGCTGGAAAACTGGCTCTGTAGTTTGGTGTGCATACTTTTCTTCAGAGGACCAGAGTTGATTGCCCAGCACTCACATCAGGTGCTCAGCTAGACCTCAAGTGAGCTCCAAAGGTCCTGGCCTCCAGGCTCCGGCACTCATGCTCACGTATGCACACATATACATATAATTAAAAGCAAAATCTTTAAAAATAAAGAATCTAGTTTTCCGTAAATATTGGTGTATTATGGATATTGTTAATGTTCTTTACTTTCCATACCACGTGCTGGCTCTTTACTTCATTCTTGCCACCCGGTTGCATAGTTTCCCCTATTGGTTTTAATTCTCTGTCAGTATTTTTGATTCAAATAATGCTCTTGTGTTCCAAGCCAGTTTTGTCTTTCATGGATTAAAAAAAGTCTAGATGTCTCAAGATGATTCTGGTGCCTCCCTGCTATTTTTCTATTTTCTGATCTGTTTAAACTACCTCAGCAAACATTGCAAGAATGTGTTTGATCTTTTGATTAGGTTGGGCTACTAAAACAATGCCTAACAGATTGGATAAACAGCAGGCATTTATTTTGTCTTAGTTTTGGAGATGGGATTCCAAGGATAAGGTGCCAGCCCAGTTGATGTCCGGAGAAGGCTGTCTTGTGTTGCAGTTACAGATTGCACATAGCTGCTGTCTCAGTTAGGATTACTACTGCTGTGATGAAACACTATGACCGATAGCAAATAGACAAAAAAAAAAAAAGGTTTATTTAGCTTTACATTTCTACATTGCTTTTCATCATTGGAGGAAGTCAGGACAGGAACTCAAGCAGGGCAGGAACCTGGAGGCTGATGCAGAGGTCATGGAGGGGTGCTGCTTACTGGCTTGCTCCTTATAAGTTGCTCAGTCTGCTTCCTTAAAGAACTCAGGACCACCAGCTCAGGGGTGGCACCACCCACCATGGGCTGTCCCCTCCCCCATCAATCATTAATTAAGAAAATGCCTTACAGCAGTGGTTCTCAACCATCCTAATGATGCTAACCCATATATGTAATACTTCATCCTGTACATCAAGGAAAGCCTGCAAGGAGATTCAGTATATTTTCTATTGAGAATCAGTGAATGGAGTAGAGATGGCTTTATTTTCTTTTGGTGCTATTTCATGTTACTTTAACTTTCTATTATGAACTTACTCTATATATTTTATGATCAAGGAAAATACATCTTAGTTCTTTCTCAATATGAAGAGAGATAATAACTGAAAAATTAGCTGGAACTGCTGTTTAGGTTTCTGTAAGTCCAGTCTCCCCCTTTTCACAATATCATGTGAACAGAACCAGAGAGTGTAGTGCTTTATGTATCCGGCTTCCATTGTCTGGCATGATGCTTTTGAGACTCACTTGGTCGCTATGTAACCCATGTGTTGTTCCCTTTTATTTTTGAGTGATACATCATTGGATGGATGGTTGACATTTTGTTTATCAGTTCTCAGTGGATGGACATTTGATTTATTGCCAGACTGCTGGTTAGGAATAAAGTTGCTATTGACACTTGGCACAAAATCTTAAGTGTGGCTGTAAGATTTCATTTCTCTTGGGTTAACACCTAGTAAAGAAATTTCTTAGTTATATATGATGAGTGGGTAGCAAATTTTGCAAGAAACTACTGACCTGTTTTCCAGAGTAACAGTACCATGGCTTCTCACCCCATAAGGTTTTGAGACAGTACTCCTCATGCAATTGTGAGTGAAAATCTATACAGATCTCTCTGAACTTGAAAGTCTAAATTGCTCTAAAATGTTGATATGCCAAGTGACAGAGTTCATACATGATCTCATCTGACAGATGACAGGCAACATTTTTGTACACGAAAACTACTGTGCAAAATTAGTTTTAGAGTTCAGAGTTAGAACTCATTGGTTAGAACCTTCCTATAAGCAAAGCCCTTTAGTCTAGGACTGCCAGACAAACTATCAGGCTACGTGATTAAGTATGTATGAAACTAGTTTTGTGGTTAGACTCAGTCCCTGCCTCTACCTCCTTTTGTATATGTAAATATTCTAAAATCTCAAACACCTGTACTCAAGCACTTCAGCTAAGAGACCTTCCTTCTGTAACTCCTTTGGCAGTTTGAATCACGTCAGCAAACGTAGTTGTTGACTCAAGAAATGTCTTTGTGTAAGGGAAGATCTGAAATATGTGGAGATGTCTGTCACAGCACAGTTAATAACAAAAGACTACAGAAAGTATTCACATCACAGTCACTGTCCTTTATTGTTAGTGTTACAAACACTTAAAGTTATACAATCAACGTGCAGTAGTTAGTCATTTTGGTAGACTTAAGAGAAATGTAAAGACTTCTTTGGGCTGGTGAGATGATTATGTGGATGGGAGTGCTTGCTATGCATCCACATACAAAGGCAGGTATGTAGCCTGGAGTCATAGCTTAGAGGTTACTAGCACTTGCTACTCTTCCAGTGGACCAGAGCACTGTTCCCAGACTGATGTTTCATGACTCACATCAACCTGTATGTAACTCAAGCACGGAGTGAATCTGATGCCTTCTTCAGGCCTCTGCAGGTTATCTGTATGAATGTGGCATATACTCAACACAGACACATCTACATAAATAAAATAAAAATAAATCTTATAAAATGAAGTGCCAGATGTTGCCATGAGCATGCCTGAAACCTCAGCACCGTTGGAGATACTGATAAGAGGATCACTGAGGCTTGCTGGCCACCACCATACATGGTCCTGGGTTCAGTGAGAGAGCGTGTCTCAAAGAAATAGGGTGGGGAATGATAGAGAAGGATAGCCAGTGTCATCCTCTGACCTTTGTGTGCACACATATGCATATACACCACATTCATCTTTATATATTGCTTGATGCGTAGTCTGCAAACTAGAGAATGCTGATACTTACCTGAAGGTAGTGTGAGATAGAACACTGCAGTAAAAGAGTTTTTTAAAAATATTTATTATGTAAATAATATTCTGTCTGTGTATATGCCTGCAGGCCAGAAGAGGGCACCAGATGATTGTGAGCCACCATGTGGTTGCTGGGAATTGAACTCAGGACCTTTGGAAGAGCAGGCAATGCTCTTAACCTCTGAGCCATATCTCCAGCCCCAGTAAAAGAGTTTTAAAAATGTACTATGAAGGACTTATTCTAGCTTACAGATTATAGTCAACCGTACAGGGAATCAAGGCAGGAGCAGAAACAACAGGAATTCTTCCTGGGTTACTCTCTCTGGCATAGTCTACTTTTCTTATACATCCTGGCCCACCTCTCTAAGGATGGCGCTGCCCACTGTGGACTGTCCACATCAGTAGCAACATGTGGCTTACTGGGTGAGTGTATACCTACAAAACTGTATTTTCAGATTCTCTTAAAACAGTAGAGCAAGGAGGTTATTGAGATGTTTCAGTGGTTAAGAGAACTTACTGCTCTTGCAGAGAGCCCAGGTTTAGTCCCAGAACCCACATGGTGGTTTCTCACAACCTTTTGTAACTCTGGTAACCAGGAAGTCCTTTTGCATCTTCTGACCTCCATGTGGTATATACACATACTTGCAGGCAAAACATTCATGCACATAAAATAAACATTTTTTTTAAAAAAGTGAAACAGGAGCAGACGTAAAGTAAGCTTTGAAGACTATAAAGATTGCTGTGAGGCTCTGCATCTGTAAAAAGGCTGTGATACAGTTTAGGACTGATCAGATGGCCAGAAATTGTCTCAGTAAGAGTAAGTAGGCTTTTAAAGAAGAGCTACTGTTATTTTGTCCCAAGTGTGCTAACATATAAATTATATTCATGATCATTTATTCTAGTGATTTTAGGTAGGGTAAAAGTAGAAGAGGGGCAGCAGGACTAAATTCCTAGCATTTAGAGGCTGAGGCAAAAGGATCTGGTGTTCAAGGCCTCCTGGGCTACTTTGAAAAAGCCTACCTCCAAACTAAAGGAGATGAAAATGCCCACAGGATGACAGGATGGCAAAGCCTCTTAAGAGCAGAAACTGTCTCACTTGTTACTTTTTTCTCCCTTACTTTTCTCTCGCTTCCCTTTCCTTTTCCCTTCCCCCTTCCCTTTCCTTTCCCCTCCCCTCCCCTCCTCTTCCCTTCCCTTTTTTCCTTTCTTTTCCTTTTTCCTTTCCTTCAATCTTAGTATGTTGTCTGAGGAGTGTAAATGGAGCTAACTTGTATGTAGGATTTATGATTTACTCAAAGGTAAAGACAAGACTGAGTAATCTGAGAATACAATTGTGATATGATGTTTCCCTCGCTGAAACTGATGGGTTCGTGTTTCAGAAGTTTTTATAATTGTCCTCAGCAAATGTAGTGGATCTTTCATTTTTACCTTATTTCCTACTCAACTATTACATCAGGAATTCAGTGTACAAAGCTATTAGTGTGTGCTTATGTTCATGTAACTCATTCATAGTTTCTTCAAACCATAGGTCCTCTACTGTACCATTTTGAAAATCTGGCAAATGAACTTTCTATAGAATTGAGCTATGAGGATATCAAAAACGTCGTTCTGCAGTATGGATTCCAGCTGGAGGTAAGAATGGAAAGACATTGCCAATGTTAAACTTGAAAAGCCTTTAAACAGGAATATAGGTATTATAGCAGTTACTAACTTTACTTTTTCTCATCCAGATAGAAAAGGTATTATTACATAGCTCTCTTAATTGTAAAGATTTGGGACAATATGTATATAAAGGGAAAACTGTAATTCCTGATGAAGTAGACCTTCAATAATGGTAGCTGATAATGGCCTGGCTAATCTTTCACTGACAGGCTCTGGAGAAGGCAGATATCAATGAAACAGTTCTTTCTATCTTATTTTATTCTGCCTGGCCTTTCTTCTCTCAGCCACCCCATATTAAATAAAACTTTATGGTACTTTGGCTATTGAGTTGGTTTTTTTACTTATTTAGGACTATTACACTCATTTACAAAGTAATGGGTTTATTCTTAATAAAGAGAAACAGTGCATATATGCACTTTGTAGTTGACTGCCTGAATTTGAAACCATTTTTAACCACCTATTAGTGGTGTGATGATGAATTTACATGACCTGTTACTTTGTGTGTGGGATTATGAATGCTACCAGTCTTATGGGGAGGGGGTTGGTATTGTTTTTGTTTTGTTTTGTTTCTTTTGGTTTTTCGAGACAGGGTTTCTCTGTAGCTTCGGTGCCTGTCCTGGACCTAACTCTTGTAGACCAGGCTGGCCTCGAACTCACAAAGATCTGCCTGCCTCTACCTCCCGAGTGCTGGGATTAAAGGTGTGTGCCACCACCGCCCGGCGGGGGGGGGGGGTATTGTTTAAATATAGCTATGATAGTGCCTATAACTATTAACTTCTTGTTTTTGTTAATTGTGTTGCAATCACGATCTTAGGATTTTTGCTTTTTTACAGGTGGAAGAGGAATCTGTATTGTCAACATATACTGTGAATGATCTCTCTATGATGAAATACTACTATGAATGTGTTTTGTTTGTGGTCCGGAAGCCACAGTAATGGTCCTAAGTGGTACTACCCAGAAAAAGGTTTAATATGAACAAATGCTGAAATAAACAGCTCACAGTCAGCTATCAGTGACAACAGGACACAACCTCAAATCAGTGGTGCCTTCTTATTCCTAACAAAATTTAGAAATAGTGTCTATTTTCTTAATAATATCTATTGCTTTTTTTCAGAAATATACTATACCATGCAAATTTATATTGCACAGAAAAAAAATGGAGAAAATATTTCCTGTGCCAGATATATAATGGAAGAAATATCTTCAAGTACTTTTCTTTGAAACCCAGAATCGTCCTTCTTTAAAGAAAACAAAAACAAAAAGAAACCAAACTCCAGTCTTTCTGAAGCTGTTGCAAGTCTGCCCTATTAATGACTGATAGTGCTGAAGTCCACATTGAGCTCCTTTTGGGCTTTACATTGCCTGTGTTACTTTTAGAAGAGGCTAAGGATGCTGTTATACTCAGCATCTGGAATTGGAACTTTCTTCTCATTGAATCTAAGTAACTCATAAAGAATATTGAAACTATTCTTTTATCATTCATTTTTTTTTCTTCTTAGTCCAGCTGAATTTAGAGAGGCATCAAATATGTCTTATATGAAATGCTAATTCGGTTGTATCACAGGTAAAAATTCAATGAAATGCATCAACAGAGAAATTTAGTCTTTGTCCATGCTAAACTGAATCTTCTATTAACTCCCGGAAAATCCCATTGAAGTGTATAAGATAAACATTTGGAGGCACAAAATTTTTTAAGCAGTGTTTGCCCATCTGAAACATAACTTCAAATCAATGATGAGTTATAAAGTTTGTCAGTGTAATGTTTACAATGATGTCTTTTAAGTATGTGGCTTATGAAAGCAAGCACTTTTTTAAGTTAAAATATATTTTAGTAAAAACTGTCATGATAGAATTAATGTGAGAAGTTTTGAGTATGAAATTCAGGGATAAGTTAATGCCCATGGTCTGTCTTCAGTATCCTAGGCAGCAACCATTCATGGAATTTCAGATTAATAACAGTTTTGTCTCCTGGTAGAGTTGGAATTTAAACAGTGTGTGTGCTGCTTTAATTTTCTACCTCTAGGGAGACCTGTTTGGGAGGGAATTTCCTTGCTGCTGTTAATTTTGACATTTGTTACTCTGTTTCCATTAGCTAGGAGAGTAAAGATGACTGATGTTTTTACTTCTACATGAAAAGAAAAGTTCTTGCTGAATATTTCACAGATGCTTGTGACCTCTGTGGCCTTCGGATTAGATAGATTTAGTATGTGCTGTGGCATAACTGTCATGTTGCCATGCTTTCATACAAATCTTCAGGCCTTTGTGTTGCTATGGGATCTACTGTCCTTCTAGTTGGGGGTTCTACACAGTGTAGGAATTGCCATCTGTCCTCCCCTTAGGAAGTCCATGGCACCATGGAGTGCATTTTACTTACGCTATGTAAATCATACTCCACTTACCTTTGAAAATTATTTCTTGTTCTTCCAGTGCTCAGTACTTCATCATGTTCATTTGGTGGAAATTCTCACTTCTTACTATTGGCAAGGATGAAAAGTCTCCCAGAATTATTTTTTTTAAGGAAAAAAAATTTAAAGTGTTTTAAAAGGCGTTCACTGAACACAAGGCATGCATGTTTTTGTTTTTGTTCAGTTGTTACTTAGGAATGCTCTTTATGAATTTTGTAGTATTTCTCGTAGCCTGCTTGTTGTCTTTCTTACAAATGTAAGAACAAACTGACACCAGTGGGTTGGTTTTGTTACCTAAAGGTTTTTTCCCTGCCATGTTTTACTCTGAATAATACCACTTACATTTCTAAATTATATATTTTACTTATCTCTGAAGTCAGTTAATCCTTTTATTTTTAGTTTTTTTCCTTATATCATGAATATTTTTAAAAATATTCCTTATAAGTTTGCATTACCCTTATCTGGCTTTTGAAGTTAATATATTCTAAATTTGAAAATAAGGTATAAATCAATAATAGAAGAGTCACTGGAGGACTTTAGTTTTGTATTTTTATATTTAGGTTGAGCTGCTTAACCGTATAAGCCTTGAAGTTTTAAATTTTTTTTCCTAAATTTGCTCATACACAAATTTTTTCATCATAAGGTGATCATGTGCTTGCTGTTTTTAAATTTTGACTTTTTGATGTGATGCAAATTTAGGTTCTGATCAGTGAGCAAGATAGGGCATATAAAATATACAGGGAAGCTGCAGAAATCACAGTATGAAATGATCAAGTTTGAGAACTGTAAAGTATATGGTATTTATATGTAATTCACATTCTAAATGTTGCCAGAAAGTTGAATTGGAAATTTCATGTCTGCATGAAATTTCCTATATTTTTAATGTGTACATGAACTTAATTTTTCTTAAATATTAAAGTCTGCCAATTGCTATAACAGTTTTTGTTGGTGTTTCCCTCTCTGTAATGATGGCCATAATGGGAGTATTATTTAATTAATCATATTCTTTTCACCTCTTGGTTATCCTAATTTTTGTATGCTTTTAGAAAGTTAGTAATAATGTATATTTGACCTTTGAGTTTGCCCAGGTGGACAGTATTTATTTTCACTTTGTTTCATTCATGCTCACTATAATGGACTTGGAATCCCCCACGGAAGATTAGTCTTGACAGAGGCTAATCACCAAAACAAGTACCAGGATGAGCATTTTTATTTTCTGGGTTCATTTCCCTGAATTCTTCTCTAATGACTGGGGTTTGGGGTAGTCTCGGAGGCCTTTGGGAGAGGCCTGCATGGTGCTCAACAGAAGCCCGCTGGAGAGGGCTTCACACTTTGTGACTGGGCATTTTCTCCACTCCTAGTCTCTTCTCTCTTCTGTAGTATATGACAACATGTCTTTCAAGTAAAAAAGATAGCAGGTTTGCTGTTTTGTCTCAGTTTCTCTCTGAGCTCACTTGGCTGTTTTTTCTGTGGTAATGAAGCAGAACTTGAGGATTAGGATCAAAATGCAGTGAAGCAGTTGGGAAGCAGAGGATGCCTGATGTGGAAGGGCCAGGGCTAAAAACAGTTCCAGAGGCATGCCTGTAGAGGAAGATCCACCTTCCGGTATTCCATCCATGGATGATGTCATCAAAGAAATAGTTCGTCCATTCATGAGGTCAGAGCCTTCACTGCTAAGCAATCATTGGGGATCAAGTTTTTAATGTATATACACTGGGGGACCTTTTATACTCTGTCCCTACTGCATTGCAGAAGTCTTTTCAGGGTTCCCTGAGTGGTGAAGACCTGTTAATGTGCCCGACCTTGGTGCACTGTTTCAGGAGGGTGGAAAGAGGCAAAGGAGTCCCTTTTTTGATTTCGTCTTTGTATTAGTCAAGGTTCCCTAGAGTCACAGAATTTATGGAATGAATACACACACACACTCACCCCTGAGGCTGGGTGTCTCAGCTGGTCTTCTGTATGCTGGAATCCCGAGTAGGCTCCAGTGCCAGTGAAGGAATGGATATGCTCTTAAGGCGAGGGCAATCAAGCAAAGGGAGAAGGAACAAACCATACTTCTTCCATGTCTTAGGCTTCCAGCAGAAGGTGTGGCCCAGATTAAAGATGTGCCTTCCCACCTCAGAATCTGAATTAAAGGTGTGTGTCATCCTGCCTCAAAATCTGGATCACAGGTGTGCCCCCATTTCTGGGTTGTAGTTGATTCCAGATAGTCAGGCTGACAATCAAGAACAGCCATCAAAGTCTCTTACTCTATTTCAGCATGTAATTGAAACCTTGACTGTTACTGTCAAGATTTTGCTGTGCAAAAACATTGACCAAAAGCAACTTCGGAAGGAAAGGGTTTATTTCATCTTACAGAGTTCCACACCACACTAGATCACTGACGGAAGTCAGAAGAGGAACTCACACAGGGCAGGAACCTGGTGGCAAGAACTGTTGCAGAGGCCACGGAGGACTGATGCTTACTTGACTTGCTCCTTTGGCTTTTTGTTTAAATCTGCTGCTCTAACACTGGCAAGTTCACCTCTGGCTCTAGTTGATCCTCCAGGACCTTCTGTCCACACACATGCCAGCCTGCTTCACATTCGGTCAAACTGTGAATACGTAACAGCCTTTCAGAGCAAGAATATCTATAGGAATACATATCCAGCAAATAAAGTTCACGAGTGACCAATCAAAAATTGTCACACAGGGTTGGAGAAAAGGCTCAGAGCACATAGGTCTCTTAGAGAGGGAGGACTCATGTTCAATTCCAAGCACCTGTGTTAGACTCTGTAACTCTAGATCCAGGGGATCTGAGAGCACTTGTGGGCACACAGGTGCACATATTCACATACATACCCATGTATACACAGAATTAAAAGTAAATCCTTAATTACTGTGTGGCTCAGAAAGCAGGAAATAGAGAAAGGTGAGTGAAATGATACGGCCCCCAAACTAACATGGATTATAAAATTAGCAGAGAGCAGTTAAGACTGCCGTCATATATGTTCAGACATTATTAGACTCATGGGAAGAATAAAAATGACCCAACTTGAATTTGTAAAGGTGAAAAGTAGATATTATGGGATGGAAAATAGGCTGGCCCTAGTGGCAGCTTTGAAAACAATCTGTCTGGAACCATAGCACTGTGGAGAGAAGGCTGCCGTGGCTTCTTTGCTCAGGTAGGCACGCTTAGGTTATGTTCGGACTTGGGGACATTTCACACTTGCTGTGACTTCTGCCAAGGATCACTCCACTGTATATGACTTTCCGTCCACTCTTCGAGGTCTTTACTAGACAGTCAGCATAAAGAGTTCCTTTCCCCCACTAACTCCTTTTCTCTGCCTTTTGAAAATAAAGGCACATTTATTAGATATCCTGTCTGTCTCCCTCAATTCAACGAGAGTTGAAGGAAGTTATTTAACTTGGTCCTTAGCAGATACTCAGAGTGGTTATGAGGGCTTATGGCTATACTTCTGTGCCTGAGTGGTAAATGGTAGTGCATGGCAAACAGTGGAATACAGTCGTCACTATGCCCACAAATACTAGCCATCTGCTATATGGCACACATTGAAGTGACTGATGTAGAGAAGCTATATCCGTGAAGTCTCATGAACATAACTGCCTAAAACATGAGCTGAACAAGACCACCAATAGAAATGCTAACCTGGAAGGGCAGCTCGCAAGGCCTCAACCCTAGTTAACAAACAAACCTTCAAAAAATTACAGGGAACCAAGGGATGCTGAGAGTGGGAAAACGGTCTTCCCCAGGGAAGAGCAATCTGCTCAGTCTGTTATTTGTATATATATTTAGGAATACTCAGACATAAAACAGCCATGAATTTGAAAGAGTAGGGGGAAGGAGGACAGAAAAAGGGAGGAAATGTAATTTTAAAGTCTAAAAACATAATTCTTTGAAAGAGCCCTAATTACTGAAAACTCATTTCTAGTGTGGGAGACGAGAATAAAAAGTGACAGCTGTACTTTCCTTTATGGTGACCAGAGTTGGGCACACTGAGAAACTGACCAGTGCTCAGGGGAGGATTATCTATCAATTAGAAACATTTTAAAAATTGAGATCTGTTCAAGGTCTGCAAAACAACAACAACAAAAAAGTCAACCACTTAAAACTACTTTGTAAGGTTCCCACCAGTCTGATGATCAGAATAAAGCAGTGTAAAGGCTCCTGCTTGTGGCTCCAACCCTGGGGAAGGCAAAGGTAGAAGCTGCCTGAATCCAGGAGTGGGAGGACAGTCTGCATGAAAGAGTAAAACTCTCAAGACAGTAATTTTGTTTTTGTTTTTCAAGACAGGGTTTCTCTCTAGCTTTGGAACGTGTCCTGGAACTAGCTCTTAAAGATCACGCTGACCTCGAACTCTCAGAGATCCACCTGCCTCTGCCTCCTAAATGTTGGGATTAAAGAAAGCTATGTGCTACCACCACCCGGCTCAAAACAGTAAATTCTTAAAAATATATTACTTTATCAGGAAAACCAGGGGGTGGGTGAATTAAAAACCAACTTCTGGTACATTACTGATAGCATTTGATTTTTGTTCCATCTGTTCACTGTATGTGTGTCAACGCGCCAGCCACACTGGAGGTGAGCGTCAGGGGACTACTTCTCAGTTGTTATTTTTGTACCATATACAGGACTGGGGCCTAAACTCAGGTTGTTAGGTTTGGATGTATGCACTGTAGCCTGCTGAGCTACCTCACCAGTCCCAGACCGCATTTTATATCAAACTATAGGACAGGCAGAATTGGTTGAAGATACTATCAGGCCAATATGAAAATTGGTTGAATGAGTTGGGTTATGTTTTATATAAACAGTACAAAGTTTAAGCACAGGCTCTGAAAACCGGTTCAAGATGAATATTAACCTTAGAGTAACCATTACATATTAATGCAAAGAGCTATAACTAAAGCGCCAAGGGGTTAAACTGAAATGGAATTAAAAATATTCTGGTGATTTAATAGAAATCAGGAAGAAAATAAGAATTCCAATGTATTTCAGACCTTAAGAACAATGAAAGCAGCACACCAGACACTGCAGACTAGCTGAGGCAGCTGCAGCTTCAATGTTAGTACTGGAAAAGAAGACGGCTGGGCCTGCTGCACCAGTCCCAGCTCCTGCTCTAGTAATGCAATGAATATGCGGCGACCCTGGCTACAGGAACGAGAACATGTCTCAAAAGACCAAACAATTAGGAAGAGTATACTCAGTTTTAGGCTCCACCAGCACTAAGAAAGTATTACGACAACTTGTATTTCTTGACTAAGTAGATTGGTCCAACTGAGGGCAAAGTGACAGCAAGTACTATGGTGGCAGTTATGGGCAAAAAGGTAGAAGATGTCTATAATGAGAACTTCAACATTTTAATGAAGGACATTTAAAAATCTAACTAGAGCTTGGATACTCCAGAATTAGCAGTGGGCCTGATGTTGTAAAGATGAAAAATTTTCCTCAAACCAATCTATAATGATGGGGCCCATAGGTATGGGTCCATTCTACCTTGGCTAAAGGTCTAAGAGTTAGAACTTACTCCTTTCCTTCAAAGTTATTGTCAACAGCTCAAATAACAGGTATGGCTAATATCCAGACCTGGTTTTTCAGATACAAAGAAGTAGATCTGTTTCTACCTCAAACAAAAGTCTAAGAATCCAACTAGGTTCCTACTCCCTTAGGGAGATAACTATGGATTCCACCCAGGGAGTGGTTTGCCTACATACAGTTTTAGTCTAGGGTGTGTTACTTGTCTTGTTTTGGGAACAGAATGTTTAAGAATGTAGCCTCTAATCCTTTAATTGCTCTGTTCATTCCTGGTATCATATGAATGCAGGTTTTTTCTTTTTTCTTTTTTTAAATCTTACTCCTATCTTTTAATGTCAGGGTATTTAAGCAAATGGAAATTAAATGCAGGCGATTTTCAGTTTTCACTGGAACTCCCTCCCTGTGCTATCCTGTTTCTGTTTTATTTATTATTTTCACTCATGTCTTCATTCTCTTTACTTATGTTCCTAATCCCCATGCCTCTATCCTGGTAAGTGGTATCATTGTTGAAGCTGATCTCCAACATAATTCCCCTGTAATTCAAAAGACCCAAAGGGAAATGCTATGGTGGTTTCATATGGAAGAGCCAGGGGCTAAGTGTCCTGCACACAATCCTAAAAATAGTCAAGGATTGCTCTATAGCTATCAAATCTTTTAGTAAAAACAATGTGTGTGTGTGCACGTGCGTGCATTAACTTGAACACATGGCATGGATCAGAGAATACCTTGCTGAAGTTGTCTTTCCACCATAGGGGTCTCAGAAATTGAACTCAGGCTTAGGCTTGGAAGTAAGCATTTCTATCCATTAAGCTGTCTTGCTGGCCCTGTCAAACCTGCCTATAAAGCTGTAAGCATGTAGATGCTATTTATTGAGACACAATTGCAAATAGAATAGTTGAGCTGAATAGAGTGCCCAACCTCACAAGTTCAGGGAGGAATGGAGTTAGCATGGAGTAGGAACCACACAACAGTGAGCAACAACTGTCTCATACGGGAACAGAATATACTGTCCTTAGCATAAACACACACACACACACACATTGATTCCAAGTGTAGGAAAGACTCAAGTATGGAAAGAAAAATTAGAGACTGTAAAATGCTTAGACAAAACATTATGTACAAACTAAAACAGACATGGCAGATCTATCTTACTATATTAAGTCATGGCAGGGCCAATGAGATGGCTCCATGGGTTGAGGTACTAGCCACTTGTCTTGACCATCTGAATTTGATTCCTGGGACCCACAAGATGGAAGGAGAGAACGAATGCAACATTGTCATAAGCTGGGGGGCTTCAGCTCCAGGTTCTTTGCGAGTAGTACTGTGAGGACTTAATTTGACTTACCACTTATCTATAAAACACTTATCAATTAACATTTCCTAATCTTATCAATTATCATAAGATATCTCTTAACATTTCACACACTAAACATATGTATTAACACATCTATGCTCTTAACATCTCATACATGCATTAAATAGCATCATATGACCTGGTATTCTTCAGCTTTAAAAAGGACTTTTTGGATTTCCTTAGGCTGGATGCCTGACAGCACTGGGGGCTTGACAGCGTGGCTCAACTCTTGACCCTGTTAGTCTGCATTTGGGAGATAAGGCGTTCGATGTCCTGCTCTCAGGCTGGTATCAGGTGCTGGATCAATTCTTGACTGCAGTCTGTGGTCTGGTGCTAGTCTATCTCGGAATGCAGGGCCTTGAACTCTGCTTTCGGGTGACAGAGTCTCAGGAGACAAGGCTTTAGTTCTCTGCTCTCGAGATGGCAAAGCGTTCTGTCGGCTCTCGAGTCAGGAGGCGAAGCTCTGCTCTCAGGATGGCAAAGCATTAAATGTTTCTGCTTTCGGGAGGCAGGCTTGAGGATCTGTCTCTACGAGGCTCAGTGCCCAGGCCATAGTAAGAAGTGAAATAACTGCCCTGCTTCTGCCCTCTCTTTTTATGCCAGTTTGAAACTGCCTCTCGTTTGATCCTTCTGATAACCAGATGTCCTAGGTTATCAGTATCGACTGGCCACAGAAGGGTGGGCAAGATTACTTTTGTTACCAAGGTTGCTGGGTGCCTTCAAGTGGGCAAAATGTTCTCTTAATAGTTCACCTTAGTAATTCTCCACACCACACACAAGAAGAAATGCTTTTACACTACACCAAGTTGCACTCATTCTATAAATTTCCTGCTCTATCTACACTACAGATTTCCCTCTTTATTTATCCATTCAGAGGAATCTGTTTCCATGCTCATTACAAACATAAAATTAAAGTCAGACCTGGTAATACACACCTTTACTCTAGTTCTCAGGAGGCAGTGGCAGATGCAGCTCTATGAATTTGAGGCTAGCCTGGTCTACTTATAGAGCACAAGTCCAACTAGGGATACCTATTGAAACCCTGTCTCAAAAATAAATTACAAGTAATATACTAAACAATGAAAATATAAGACACAAGTTGGTAGCAGTATTTCTAACACCATTACTGTAGGAGACATTTCTAGAGTACTAAAGAAAAAGGTTCTCACAAACCAGAAAAAAGGATACCCAGTCTAATTTTTAAAGAGGGCTAACGATGCAACACACCTTTAACCAATGTCTAGCAATCCAAACGGGGCCAAGCAGGTACTAGAGGTCAAGTGTAGGCTTTGAAGCAGAGGTAGTGGTGGAAGGACAAACTCCTTACAGCAGACCGAAACCAAAAGGAAAAGCAGGACTGATCACTTGAGCCACATGTAAATATAGAATTCGTTTAGCAAAGAACATCATTAAATATAACGGCTTTTTGCACCAAAAAAAGATGTCCAACTTCACTGAGTAAGATGCAAATTGAGGCCACATGAGATCCATTTCACATCGACCACGTCAGACCACCAATGTTTGCTGCTGAGGATGTAACGAAAATGAAGTTGTAAACAATAGCCTACCAATGCTAAAAAACGCTTTAAACTGAGGAAAACATTTTATGAAATCAGCCTTTGTCTACACAAAATCTTCTTGACCAATGCTCTCAGCAGCTTTATACATAATAACTTTCACTGAAAAGTAATTAAGCCATCAACAAATGATTAAACATCCTCATGCAGTGGAATACTATTTGTCAATAAAAAGTAAATTAAGCCATCAACAAATGAATAAACATTCTCATGCAGTGGAATATTACTTATCAATAAAAAGTAAAGACCAACTAACATGGAAGGATCTTAAGATACTTACGCCAAGGCGGGGAAAGGTAAACAAAAGTATAGATTGCATTGTTCCATTTACATAGAGAAAATGCTGCAGAGAAGTAGATGACAGAAAGCAAATCTAATACTTAGGGGATATTAAGGGAGTCACAAGGGAGAAATTATTAAGGTGATGGACACATGTACTACCATGTATTTTCATAGGCGTATGTGATGACGATGTCACATTTGAAATATAAGCAATTTATTGTATCAGACCTCAATAAATCTTAAAAATATCAACAAAAACCTTTTGCAAATATATCTGGGTGAAATATAGTTTATTGTACGAGACCTCAATACATCTTAAAAATATCAGCAAAACCAAAAATCTTTCACAGATTTTCTGGGTGAGTGACTAGATGGGGAAATTATAAAGAAGTAATAAATAACTCTGAAACAAGACTACTTGGGCACAGAAAGGAGGTGCCAGTGGGGAGGCATGCAAGATGCTCTTTGGCCCTTCTGGTACTGTGCTGTTTCTGAAACTGGGTTAGGCAACTCGATGTCTTTATGGCTATTTTAGCCATGTGCCTGCTTTCTATTACCCTGTGTACATATGCAAAGCCTCACAACTGAGGGGCAAGGCACGAACCACTGCCCAGGCTGTATTCTTTTTGGAACAGGGTCTATGCAGAATAATCCATCTGAAGGATTAAGTTCTTGCATGTCTACACTGTGTCACTAGTTTGAAAATGGTAAACTTTTCATTTGTTTCAGGTGGAAGAATTATCAACTGGAAACAATTGGAGAGATTAAATGGAAAAGCTATGGTAAACCTCCCGATACACCAGTGTCTGCGCTTGTTAATACTTACACTCCTCCCACAACCCTCCAGGGTACACCTCCAAATACAAGTGGTTGAGCATGCACGTGGCACACATACATAATCATAGCTAAAACAGAATTATCTTCCTTGCATGCATTTTTTGCTCGAGAATATTGTTTCTTCAGAGTACTGAACCTACGACCTTGAGGCATGGTGGGCAAGCAGTCTATCACTGAGTAATGGGCCCGACCGCTAGTTGTTGCTTAAATCAAACGACTAAAATACAGCCTGAAGCAAACCCATCACGGTTTGCAGTTGTCTTCTCCAGACACTGGAAAGAAGGTCTTGGAATCGGGCCGGCCACAGCAGGCAGGGTAAGCGGGGCCTCGGGTTAAGCAGTCACCTCGGCCGCACGACAATCGCAGTGAAAAGTCAAAGGGCCCCAGCCTGCTTTCCTCCTGATCCTCTTGAAGCCGCGGAGTCTCTCGGCCGCTCGCGCCCATGGAAGCCCCAATACCATTTCAGATGCAAAGAGGGTCGCCAGACTGTAGCTGCAGGAGCCATGCCCCGCCTCCTAGAGGCGCGCACTTCCGGCCGCAAGGGCGCTCGGGAATGCAGGCCATGAGCTTCCACCAACCAGCGGTCGCGTCGGGCCGGCGCGACTGCGCGCGCATCGCGGCGCAGGTTCGAATCTCGGGCGCCTCTCTGCGGTTCCCCCA